CGTGGCCCTGGGCTCCGGAGGCCTGCAGAGTGAGAGGCAGCGTGTGCGCTCGCCGGCCAGTGCTCCCCGCGTCGGGGGAGTCGTAGAGGCGCTGCTGACCGGGCACAGCTCTGGTCTCCGGGGCCCCGCGAGCCTTTGTGCCTGACATTGTTGCTGCACGGGCTTTGCAGGGGCTTCCGTTCAGGATGTGTTGGCGAAAGCATCTCCATTGCTTTGTGTTGGATTGTGAACGAGGCTTAAAATCTCTGCCAGCCTGAGTGAAGTTTCACAAGCTTCTCTGGGGTTGAAGCTCCGGTGTGTGGGTCACCATGTGGACCCAGGTGTCCCTCGTGCTCCAGAGTCTGACAGCTGCTTCCTCCCCGTAGGTGCCAATATCTTCCTTACCTCTTCCGGACTGATCAAGCTGGGGGATTTTGGATGCTCGGTGAAACTTAAAAACAATGCACAGACCATGCCTGGGGAGGTGAACAGCACCCTGGGGACGGCAGGTGGGCACCCTGACCTGTCCCAGCATTTGGCTCGCGGCTGCTCAGTGCTCGGGCTTTCCGGTGGCTGTGCCACCAGGCTTGGGGAGACTTGGGGAGCAGGCAGGGGTCCTCACTGCAGCGAACCACGACTGAGACGAGCTGCCTGTAGGCCCGCGGGGTGGGGTCTTCAGTTCCCCGTGGAACCAAAGGCAGGAGGAAGGGCCTTGTTTCCTTGCCCAAAAAAACCACTATTGTTTCCACTGGATTTACTGACGTGAGTCTAGTTCAGGCACCGTTAAGCGATGAGTTTTTGTTTGCATTAAGTCATAAAATTGTGCGTCCTGCTTTGCAGATGTTTTCATTATCAACACTTCCCTGAAGATTTACATATATAAAAGACAACTTGGCCCCTAAAACGCCTATTCAGGACATGGGTTTCAAGTATTTCTGTTAAGTTTTGATATTCTCTGTCGTGTAACTCAGAGAAAGTTTTCCCTGCTCCACGAGTCAATTTGTCTATGGGAGATCGTTTACATTTTAACGTGGAACGTTACGTAATGGAGCGTTAATTTACTGCTTGGCTCTGTTAACACGTGGTGCTGTGTGCACGAGCTGTGCTTACTTCTGTGTCTGTGACCCCAAAGCGTACATGGCTCCAGAGGTCATCACCCGGGCGAAAGGAGAGGGCCACGGGCGTGCGGCTGACATCTGGAGTCTGGGCTGTGTTGTCATCGAGATGGTGACTGGTAAGGTAAGCAGCGCACCCGCCTGGCGCAGGGACTGCAGCGGGGGAACACGTTTTGTGCTAAGTAGACAGTGTAAAAGTAGTAAGATTAAAATGGTGACAAAGACACAATGGAGTGGAGACAAGTGACAGAGCAGGGCCTGCGTCTTTATCCAGTGGATGACTTCGTGACGCTTCTGAGTGATCGAGAAAGCGTAACGCTTGAGTGAGAACATGAAGAAGTAAGTAGCCGCCGAGAGGAAGGTGGCGTGAAAAGCTGTGTCCACACACGAACTGGCCTGTAGACGCCTTCACTAGGCGTCATTCCGAGTCGCCCAGCTCAGAGGCAAGCGGGAGCATGGGCGCCTGTGGGTGCTGGGCGCAGCGTGGCCGGGCGAGCTGTCAGGCCCGAGTGGCGCAGGAGAACCCAGATGCGTGACGCGGTGTGAAAGGGGCCGGCCGAAAGGCTCTGTGGCCCGGAAGAGGAGAACTGGGGGGGCGGGGGGGCACCGTGGTCACCAGGGCCCCAGAGAGGAGGGAAAGAGGACGAGAGAGGACTCCGGACCTGCAGGGCGCCAAGACTCCTGTGGTCAGTATCGCAAATCTCTTTTCATGAAGATAGTAAAGACCAAACAGGAGTGCTTTGTACAGCTTTGCGTGGCAGCCTAGAGGCCCAGGTGGGGGCAGGAAGGGGGTCGCCAGCTGTGAAGCCAAGCAGCTAGAAACTTGGCAGTGTTACTGGAGTTGGTGCTGATTACTCAGCAAGGCCGCATTGGACGCCCGTGTAAAATAACGGTTGAGCGTCATGTACCCTGTTGATGTTTTCATAGGATTCCGTGTCACATACTTTTTGGCCTGTGGATGGCTCGTCAGTAGCATTGGGCCAACAGGCCACCTGAGTGTGGTGGCAGACTTTGCAGACTGAGTAGAGTTGTATTGGCACACGGCCACACCCGTTCGCTTACACGTTGCTGCTCTCCCCGCCCAGGGGACAGCTGAGTGTTGGAGACCCACGGGCCCTCCGAGTAGGCGCTTGCCGGCCCCGCCTGTCAATACCGAGATGCCGAGAAGCCGGGCACCCGGCCGTGCCCTTTGATGGCCCAGTCTTAAACCCTGGCTTTATGTCTTTGTAGAGACCATGGCATGAATATGAGCACAACTTTCAGATTATGTATAAAGTGGGGATGGGACATAAGCCCCCAATCCCTGAACGATTAAGCCCAGAAGGGAAGGATTTCCTGTCGCACTGCCTGGAGAGTGAGCCGCGCATGAGGTGGACAGCCAGCCAGCTCCTCGACCACGCCTTCGTCAAGGTTTGCAGCGTGCGCGGCGGTCCTCTTGTGCTTAAGCTCGCGTTCTCTTTGCGCGGCGCCTAAGGAGATGTGGGACTCAGGCGCGCGGGGGCGGAAGCAGTCGTCGCCCTGCGGGGGGCTGTGCCTTTTCGTCTGAGGGGGCGTCACCGAGTCTCCTGCGCGGTGGCGTGGTGGCCTGCCGGAGGTGCCTCTGGCTGCTGGGGGGTGAAAGACGCGGTTTCCACCCGGCCCAGGGGGGTCTGTGGTGACCGTGCCTCTGTTAAGGACTGTGATAGTGGCTTTCCCCTGTCAGCTCAGTCTCATCTGTCACTGCCCCTCGAATGGCACGCCTGACTCTGGCGGACCACCGGGTCGGAAGCGGGGTGGGGTGGGCCAGCTAAACGAGACATGAGGGCTCCCTAGCGAGGGCGAGTTCCTCCAGGGGCTGGGTGGGACGTGGCCTGCGGGCGGCGGGGAGTGAGCGGAGCCGCAGCAGCCTCAGGAGGTGGTGGAGCGCCTGCACGGGCTAGTGTGTGTCGGGGCGGTCGCTGTGGAGGCGAGGCTGGTCCCTGCCGGGGAGCCACGGGCTTGTCATCAGCCACAGCGGGCGCTATGTGGCTGTGATTGGCAGCTGACTGGGCGTGGGGGCGTCTAGGGCAGCTTGCAGCTGGCAGGCAGCGCCAGGCCTGGCCGAGGGCGAGGGCTCTCTAGTAGGCTGTGTCGGCACCTGCTCAGGGCGTCACGCAGCCGCTGGCTCCGGGGCGGACACGAGAGAACAGACTGGGGCGCAGATTCGGGAGCCAGCGTGCGGCTGGGAGGGCACTGGGGGGGGGGGCTGGAATTGGGACCCAGGAGACAGGCCACAGCCCTGCCAGGAGGGCGACGCCACTCCCCGTGGGCGGGGCTCGGACCCCAGCCGACGCCCCGTGCCCGGACTCTCAGCCTGTGGCCGCTTTATACCGACTCAATCCTGCCCACGAAAGCCGGTTTTCCGACGCTTCTGGCGGCAGCGGCAGCCGCTCCGTGCCGCGCCCTGAGGAAGCCCTCCCGGCCCGCCAGGTCGCCGTCTGCCACGTGGCGCAGGTAGGCTTCAGCTCTTCCCCTCCTCGCAGGTCTGCACAGATGAAGAATGAAGCCAGGCAGCCTGGCCTGCTCACGCGTGCTCGGAAGACCGTCCCAATCACTACTGTCTGTGACTTTACATGACACTGCTGAGGAGCAGGGCGGCCTCCCCTCCCGAGGCCAGACGGCACGGGGACGCGCCTCTCCTGCTGCTGCTCCCGTCTGACGTGCAGGCGCCCTCCTGCTGGCGGTGTCCGCAGGCAAGAAGCTGCATGTCGAGTGCCATTACTACTGTACACGGATGTCGCCGTCACCGCCGGGCCCGTGTGGCTGAGAGCCGTGGCGCCAGCGCCGCGGTGTTGACCTGCCGCGGTCCCAGCGCGTGGCCGCCTGCCGGCCGTCGGGGCCTCGCCGCCCTCCTGTGTCACGTGCGCTGACCGAACGTGCCCTGCGTGGCTGTCGGCGAGCCGCGGGCCTGTGGCGCAGAGGGCTGATGAATGAGGCTTAAGATAAAGGCTCTTTTTTCAATAAATGGTTTATTTTAGGAAAGCTCAGTTATATTGTCTTTTCATGGTGACCAGCTTCAGGCCCGGTGGCCTCCGCTGCAGCCGCCCGCCCGCACCCCGCCCTCGCAGCTGGCAGCCAGCCGGAGGCCACCGGGCCGGCGTCCTGCGCACCAGGCCCCCTCGGCAGAGCGAGCGACGCGTGAGACGACACTAAGGCCACGAGCCCTTTTAAGTTATTTTATACCAAACAGCAAGTTTACAAGCAGATGAAGGCTGGGCCCGGTCTGTTTTCAAGCCATGGACGGGGCTCGGTCCGTGTAAATACTGCTGGGTCAGCTCCTGACCAGAGAGCCTCTACCGCGTGGAAACATTTCAGCAGTTAGTTTTCTAAAACAGCCCAAGTTATATGTCATTGACGGTGTTCTTTTATTTCCTTTTTGCTATTAAATTTTTTTTAAAGATTGACCTTCAAGCTTCCTGAATCTTTTTCGAAGCTCACCGACTTGCGCGTGCCCGCAGCTTCTCACGCGGTTCTGCGCCCCTGCGGCCGGCGACCCCGGCGCGAGGGCATCACGGGGCTCGTACCTGCCCAGCCCCGTCTGGTGGTGTTTGTTGAAGCAGCTTCTTGTGGTGTCATTCACGGGGCGTTTGCCATTACTCGGTGATGTCGGCGCAGCCCTCGGCCACGCGCCCCAGCCTCGGGC